GGCCAAGGAACGGTTTTTCACATACGGCGCACACGAAATGCTTAAATTAAAGGCGATCATAAGACTGTCATCATGAATGTAACAGTAAAGAAGTTGAATTAGTGAAACATGATCGGATCTTGACATAATCGCACACAACTGAGACTGATCTGAACATTTGACTACCTCTAAAACAACCGCAAATAATATCTGAATAAGCAAACAGAATAAGTCTAATGGCACTACCTCAACATGCCAATTTTTGCCGAGGGCCGTAACGACACGTTCTTCGATGGGTCGATGGCATGCTCCACAGATGGGTATGCCCATCGTGTCATGACATCTCAGACAATACAGTTCACCGTTCACTTCACGTGCATCTATGGTCAGCTCATTACTGTAACATAAACGCCTATCATTATAACGCTTAACTCATCAAATTCGCAGTAATTTAGTACCAAAAATGAGTTTTAGTCGCCTGTTCCGTCGACAATTTGAAACATTTTGCTTCAATTAATGTATTGCGACATTAATATCACACGGGATTGAGGGATCATTGATCATTGAGGGATCCGATCAGAATGAAATACTGTGATCAGCGACTGTACCAATGGTGTCAAAAATGATCACCAACCTGCATCGAGCGCATTTGAAGTGATACGGATGAAAGCTATCACCCTGATACTTGATATGACCACCTTCCTCGATAATCGCTTTGCATTTATGACACACATAACGACCCGATCCAGCCTCCTTCTCGATTTCGTTGCATTCACGACACAGCGCCCTTTAACCACAAAATTTGACTTTCATTTGCAAATTGTTAATCACTGAGTTGTTTGTGAATTCTTTGACGTGACGACACATCAGAGAATTAATTAAGTGAATCAGTGCTTTCGAAGATTTTTGCAATGAAAATCGTCGATGAGAATGAATGAGACGAAACGAATCTGGCCAACTGCATACCTTCCACCGTTTCGCAGGAAACCAACATCGGCCAAACGCTTATTGCAAATTTCACATCGAAAACAGTCTGGATGCCAGTTTGCGTTCATCGCCTTTATCACACGGCCGACAATGAATTCACCTTAACAATTCTATGGGATTAAGTTCAGTATGGAACGAATTATTTGACTGCGTTTGAATTTGATAATGGCATTGAATTTCAACTGGAAACATATTCATTGCAAATTGAAAATGGTGATAATGCTATCGAAAATCTTCGAAGGGTAGACTGAAGTGTAAGCATTTCAAAGCAATGGATTCAGTGAATTCA